GCCTGCGGGCGCCCTCGTGTTGCCACTCACGAGTGGGAAGACGCCCTCGCCCGCCGCCGCGCCGCCACCTCGCCCCCCGCGCCCGTCTCCTTCGCCGGGCTCGACCGCGCCTGCCCCGATCTCCGCGCCGCCGGCCCCCCCGGCGCGAACTGGCGCCATCGCGGGGGATGTTGCTGACTTCTCCTTGCGCGCCGACCACGCCCCCGTCTTCCTTGCTCTCCGGCCCTGGGCGCCGGGCGACGGCGACGTCTTCCTCCCCGCGCGAGTTTCGCCGCCCCATTCATGCCGGCGCCTTTGGAAAACACGTGAACGGCCGGGGCCTATCCACTGGCCCGCCGACGCGGGCACTGGGGTCAAATCGATCTCGGCTGCAGCAGGGCGGCAGCGCAATGTCGAGACGTCTCGAGCCCGAGCGGATCCCAGACAAAAAAAGTTGCCGTCCGCATCGGGGCCGCGCTGTTGCAGGCGCCAGATAGTCGTCCGAGCGCCCCCAAAATCTCGGTGAGCATTACGTCTCCGAGTTTCCCTTTGGACTCGGTGGCGCGGTTTCCCACGAGTTCTTCGGGGGCGCGATGAAACCTGAAAATGCGATTCGGAACGGCCCCACCTATCCAAGGGGGCACTGCGGACTGCCAGCTCAATCGCATTCGGCGCGCGGCCCGCGCCTGGAAGGCCAGCCAGCGCACTGTCTCTCTGACGGGCATCATCGGGGCCGACGGGGCCCCCAGGTTGCCGACCCGAGCACCTGCGCCCGCGCGCTCGACGAACACTGGGGCGGCGACTTATTTCGTGAGGATGAAGTTCCAGGATCAGGTGTCGGATGTCCCAGGAATATATCTCCTCTCTCCGTGACCTCCACCAGCGCCAATGGGACTCGCCAGAGGTTCCTGCGGGCCCTCGCGCTCGACTCATTTTTCGTTTTCCTCCACGGGCAAGAGGGCTCTGCCCCAGGCCCCAACGGCTCGTGCAATTGCGCCCGGAGGGCAGCTGGGCCAATAGCACATGCTGCGCATGTGGATCTCGACCTGCATCTGCTTTTGGGCAACCCCTCGCCCGCCAATTTCGCGGCGAAGATCGGCTTCCTGGCTTCCTGCCGAAGGGCGCCACCGTCGATCCAGAGCCAGTCTTCAAAGCAGTCGAGGACACGCGTCCGATCGCGCATTCCAATGCCGACACCACGTTGATCAGTTGCACGATTGCCGGCCCGATCGCCGAAGTTGCCCGCGATCCCCCCCGCGGCTCCCGCCTGGCAAGGATCGCGCGATCATCGATTAATTTTCTCGATGTCGATTTCAACCAAATACATTGGAATTCGGACGGGTGCCTGTTTCTCTGTCTTTCGCGCTGCATTGCCTCCTGTCCATTGCTCGTGGACCTGCGAGGTGCTGGCTGCCCGCAACCTTCCCCCCGTCGTGATCACCCCCATCTCTCTGCCTACACGAACGTGATTCTTGCGATCATTCCGCAGCGCCGATCCAGGTTTTCGTTGCCCAGCGTGGGGCCGAGCATGGCTGCGCCCTGTCTGGCCCGATCATCGCCGTCGCCCTCGACCGCACCTTCGGTTCCCCAGTTGCGCTTGGGCCTCCCCCCCAGGCAGATCGCAGCTTTCGCCGGCGACCCTGGCCTCCCGACATTTCGCGTTGCCCAAGGTAACTCGGGACCGCTGCAATTTCAGCACCATTTCAGGGCCACTTCTGGACAATGAGGACGCGCGCGATCGTTATGACGCGCCCTGGGGCTATCCAAGGAGCGTCTTGTCGCGTCCTAGACGTCGGGGTTTCTGGCATGTCGAAGCCCACTGCAAAGGGGGCAAAGTTTGGGCTCCTTCTTGGAAAGAGCGCCCCTCAGCTCCCCCGGGCACCCGTGGCCTCCAAGACCACCTTGAAAAACCTCCTGGTCAAACAGGGGGGCATCGGTCTCTCGAACAGCGTGGTTGCTCACAAGCAGTCTGCTCCCTCCCTCGCTGGATATATTGCCCAGGGCATTCGGCCCTCCGCCGCCGTTCTCCGCGCCGAAAATAAAAACGCCGCAACTTTGCGCGCGCGTGCCCCCTTCTCCCTCTCCTCTCTATGGTAGTGGTGGTGGAAAATCGGCCCGTCACCTTTCGGTGTGGCACTGGTGACCGCTGTCGTGGGCCCCCCGAGGGATGGGATCGAGTGCGGGGGGGACGAACTTTGCCGCGCGCAGCCTGGCGCACGTTCCCGGTGTGGCCGACGGCACCGCCGAACAGGGGGGGAATGTTTCGGGGGCGGCGAAGAGAGGGGGTGATGATTACAGTCGGGGCCATGAAGAAGGAACCGTTTTCGTTGGGGAGGGGTTCCGCGTTCCTTAAGTGTTTCACAGCTTGCCTCAGGCTTTCCTTAGGTTTTCGATATGACATCGAAGTTTAACTTGGGGAAAATAGGGGCCTCGTTCCTTATTTTGGGTTCCTTAGGTCAAGGCCCCGACTGTAGGGGGGTGGCTCAGATCTCATGGCGCCTCTCCTTATTTCATTACGTTCCTGAGGGCCCCCCACCTGGGCCGCGCACGTGCCGCCGGCCAGCGTCAACGGGGTGATGGCCTCTCGGGGGGGCACGTCGGTCTCCGAGCGGGAGCCCTCCGACGGGGGTCCATGCAAACGTGGGTCAGCCAGAACGCCGGATCTGGCAGGATCTTACAAGCCAGGGTCCCACTGACCCAGGTATGCCTGCAGGATCCTGCAGGATTTTGCCGGATCCTGACTTCGCAGCAGGATTTTGCAGGATCATGCGAAATTTGATTGGCCTGGGTCTGCATTGGCTCGGGCCATTGGATCCAATTGCCCATTGATCGCCGACAGGGGCCTGATATCCCAACCGGCCCAGGAGCGTGTGGTTTCGGTATCGGGGGCCTATCGCCGATTTGTCGGCGAAGCGTGGTGTTCCTCCTCCCCCCCCCCGAGCCAGTGCCCCCTGGCGTTGCCTCTCAGGGATTGGGAGAGGGAGGGGGGGCGCAATCAGCTGCGTGCAGCTCGGCAGCGTCGCGTCATGACAGATCGCTGCGGACGGCTGTGGGTTCTGGGTGCGATGGTCGGCCTCCCGTGCCGTGAGGAAACGATCCAGGGTCAAGAGTCGACCCCCAGGAGAGGGCGAAAAATTTGCGGAACCACGCTGCAACCAAGAATGCCATCCTCCCCGCGTTACTCCTCGCGTTTCGGGTCGGTCGACAGGAGAGGATTGGGATAAGGTGGGTCGCGAAAGCTATTGCAGGCAGCTGGGTTCGGCCCCGTTGCCATGCGCTTTCCACGATACATCGGTTGGCGCCTCCGGCGCCAGGAGGGGTTGGGCAAGCAAGCTACGTGAGCTGATTCTTCATAGTCCTTTTGATGTTCCCAGGTTTGTCTGACCTGACACCGACTGAACCCCTGGAATTCTCCCGTGTGGTATGGTGAAGTGTTGGAGATTGTGCGTTGGGAAATTGTATTGTCTTTCGCGCCTGGTTCTTGTATGCGGTGTCAGCCAGTGAAAAAGGAGTGCTGGCTGGCACAGGTGCAAGGGCGGGTATATTCTCTTATCGATCTTGTTTGACTCTCTTCATGCCGACCCTTTGGGTCTGCTCTTTTAAGGCACACGAATGTCCCTACGTCACGGTTCGGTGCCTGCGTTATCGTCGTTATCTTTCTGTCTTTCTGTTCGCGTTGTGCTTCATATTACTGTTCGAAGTAGTCCAGATTCTAACAGCTTGTCAGTTGCTCCTAGCGAACACTCTGGCGGCGGTGGTCGCGGCACGGCGGGGTACGTGATGTGCCGGGCAAAGTGGTCCGCGGGCGGGGCGTGGAGTGAAGTCCTGGCAGCCGCCGCTGGCGCGGTGCGACAACACACAGTCCCACTCTTCCCGCTTCGGGGAAGGCCAAACATACCCTGTCGCAGTGGGCCCTCCACGGGGCACCCAGGGACCTGGTCGTGGCGCAGTCTGTGGATGGAAGACCCCTGCGAAGCCTGACAGGGGGTGCACCTCCATGCGGGGACGTCTCGACCGTCCAACATCTTTTGTGTCTCCCCAGTTCGAAAGCATCTCCATACTTCACCACCCACCAGACCACCCCAACCCAACCCGAAGGCTCAGATTGACCTTCGATTTCCAGCGGGGGGAGTCGGGAAACATCGAAAAAACACATGTGGAACCCTTACCACCCCCAACCCGAAATTCGGGTCTTCGGTTGGGTTGGGGTGGTCTGGTAGGTAGTCAATACTGGGACTTTTGATCCCGCCCAGCCTCGCTTTTATCCCCTCGTCCCGAGGAAGCGCAGACATGGATCAGCGACGGGCTCCGCTGTTTCCGTGCAGCGGTCCGTCGCCAGATCGGGCGGTTTTGGCCTCGCGTGTCGGGGGGCACCTTCCCGATTTGGCGCATGGGCGCCGTGGATTTGGCGCATGGGCGCCAGATCCACGGCTCCCCACCCCATGCTAGCGTGAGCCCGATCATTGTCGCCTCCCCATCAGAGGCGACGATGGGGGCGAGTAGCCCTGGGGAGAGCAACACATGTATTCAGGTGCGCCGATGCTCTATGTCTTCAAGGAGGCTCCCGGGCGAATACGTGTGCTGCCCGCCCCTGGGCTATTCGCCCCTATCGTCGCCGCCGACCCCAATCCGTTCTTGGCAGCGCTCGGACGTGTGCATGTTTCCCTCGGCGAGGACCCTCGAGGAGCATCCTTGATCCTCTGGCGAAGAGAACCACGCGCGAGACCGACAACAAGCACGGGGAGTGGACGCCCGAGCGATGGCCAGTGCTGGCGCGAGCCCGTTCTTTGCCTCTCCTCCTCCTCCTCCTCCTCCTCCTCCTCCTCCTCCTCCTCCTCCTCCTCCTCCTCCTCCTCCTCCTCCTCCTCCTCCTCCCCCCCATCCTCCCCCTCCCCCTTGTGCTCGACGCGCAGGCCGACGCCGAGCCCCACGTCGGTGCCGTGGCTGCGTCGGCCTCGGCGCCGAGGAACTTCTGGAATCCGCCGCCCCTGCCTCCGCCCCCTGCCCCCCGGCGCCCCCAGGCGCCTGGCAGGACCACTGCGACCGGCACGGGGACGGCAGCTACGACCCCGCGCTGTACGACCAGGACCGGGGCGGCGCGGGGTGGCCCCCTTGTAGGCGGCCATGGGCCGACGGCCGCGGCGCCCCTGCTGCTCGGGAGGGAACAAACACACACACACACAGACACAGACACACAGACACACACACACACACACACAGACACACACACACACACACACACACACACAGACACGATGGATCGTCGGTTCCACAGGAAAGGTACGATAGTGTGGGAGGTGGGGGGAGGAGGCAGAGACCAAGAAACTGTAGGAGAAGATGGGGAATCCTGTTATTACTGTGTGTGGATTCGTTTGTGTGTCCCAGGGCCCCTTTCAGTTCCATGAAACACCGAGGCCACCCAGGGTACTCCGAGTTTCTTAATAAGCGTCGGGGGGGGGGCGTCACCCCCGCCGACAGCCCCACACCGACCCCGTCGCGGGCAGCCGCCGCGCGCCGAAGGCGCTCCGACCGCCGTCGCTGCGCGACGACGAGGCGAGGTCGACCCCCGTGGGGGCGTACCCCCCCCGGAGCAGGGACCCATGGAAAAGCACGACGGCCAGCCTTTCCAAAATTTTGGGTTCGTCGAGGGAAGGAGGAGGAGGAGGAGAAGGAGGTGGAGGAGGAGGAGGAGAAGCAGGGCAGCCCTCACGCTGACTGCAGCATGCGGCGAGTGCACGCTCATCGTGTCCTTCGAACAATTTCAGGCACAGCCCGAGATCGAACTCGAGACACCACGGGCAAATCCTCACGGGCGTCGCCCCGTTTGGTGGGGGGCGTCCCGTGAGCCCACACGGCCCCCCGCGCGTGCCACCACGGCCTCCATCGCGGGCTGGTGGGGGTGATGAGGCGGGGGCGAACGGAGGCCCCCCTCCGGCACGTCGGCTTCGGTTTCGGCGCGGGCCGTGCGGGCGGAGGAGGAGGAGGAGGAGGAGGAGGAGGAGGAGGAGGAGGAGGAGGAGGAGGGGGAGGAGGAGGTAGGGAGAGAGGAGGAGGAGGAGGAGGAGGAGGAGGAGGAGGAAGAGGAGGAGGAGGAGGAGGAGGAGGAGGAGGAGGAGGAGGAGGAGGAGGAGGGGAGGAGGAGAAGAGGAGGAGGAGGAGGAGGGAGGAGGAGGGGGAGGAGGAGGAGGAGAGGAGGAGGTGAGGAGGAGGAGGAGGAGGGGAGGAGGAGGAGGAGGAGGAGGAGGAGGAGGGGGAAGAGGAGGAGGAGGATGGGAGGAGGAGGAGGAGGAGGGGAGGAGGAGGAGGAGGAGGAGGAGGAGGAGGAGGAGGAGAGGGAGCGAGGAGGGAGGGGAGGAGGAGGAGGAGGAGGAGGAGGAGGAGGAGGAGGGAGGAGGAGGAGGAGGAGGATCGGCGCGGCATAGAGCGGTCCAGTCGAGCCAGGACCGCCCCGAGCGCGACCTCGCGCCCCACGCGAGGCCGCAGTGGCGACGAGGCCCCCCCGCCGCGTGAGTGCGACCGCCCCTAGCACCCCGCAAGCGGGGTCCTAGACGGCCGCACTCACCCCAGGCCCTCGGGCCTGGCGGCACCCACAGGCACGGGAGCCACGGAGGCCACACGGGGCCCCCCGCCGCCAGGGTCCGAGGCGAGTCCAGCAGCCCCGCCTGGCTTGGCCCCCTGGGGGCCTCCAGTGCGGGGCGTACGAGGAGGAGGAGGAGGAGGAGGAGGGGGAGGAGGAGGAGGAGGCGCGAGCTCCTGCACCAGGCCGGCCCGGGGCACGCCGAGCGGGGCCGCGGCCCGGCCCCGTGGGGCGGCTTCCCCGGGCAGCACTCGCGCTCTGGGCTGCTGCCCTCGGCTCCTGCGTGGCGGCAGCTGCAGTGACCTCCACTGGGGGAACAAACAGTGACATAAACATAAAAACTTTTGGTGGCAATGCTGGGGTATTCTTTATCTTTCGTCGAAAAATCCCCCTGTATAGGGGGACGGGCCCGACCTGATTCTTGCCCCGCGGGCGGGGCTCTGCGGCCCGCGAAGTCGTGGAGCGCATCCCGACCAGCTCGCCCTCGTGGATAGGGGAACAAAAAGTGGCATAAACATAAAAACTCGGAGGTCCGCGCGGATTTCTCGGATCGGCGCCGAACCCCCCTCCCTGGCGCGCGGAACGCGCCAGGGGCGGCGCCGGAGGCGCCGCCTGGGGGCCTCAGCGCCGATCCGAGAAATCCGCGCGGACCTCCGAGTTTTTTTTATGTTTATGCCACTTTTTGTTCCCCTATCCACGAGGGCGAGCTGGTCGGGATGCGCTCCACGACTTCGCGGGCCGCAGAGCCCCGCCCGCGGGGCAAGAATCAGGTCGGGCCCGTCCCCCTATACAGGGGGATTTTTCGACGAAAGATAAATAATACCCCAGCATTGCCCCAAAAAGGTCAAATGATACTAAAAAAATAGTCCCCGGAGTATTTTTGGACAATTTTTGGATTATTTTGGCGGTATTAAATATTTTTCGTCGAAAATCCCCCTGTAGGGGGACAGGCCCGACTTAAGGCAAGAACTTCCCCGCGGTCCTCCTGCGCTCGGGGCCCAAGTTGCCGGGTCCTGTCTCTGCGGCCGCGCCGAGGCCAGCGCGCTTGCTTGCTCGTGCTGTTTGGGGAGAGTGGACCCCGACCTCCATGCTCAAGAGTATGGAGCTTGCTATTTTTTCCGCAATTGAGAAGACGTTCGCGGTCCGCTCGGTGCATCTGTCTTGCCCCTCACACAGGCGGGTTTCATTCTCGAATCGTCCGCCGATTGGGTCACCGACGACGTCCGCAGGAGATTGCATCGGAGTGTCAGGGGTGCCAGGCAGCGACCACCAGTTTGTCACCAGGCATGGTTTTTGCGCCTGCGCGATCTGTCATCGCCATGCCCGCGACGCCGGAGGAGGGCGCAGAGGTCTCTCGCCCGCCCGCCAGCTCCCAGAGACTCCGCGTGGGTTGAGCCGCAGGCTCGAGAAGCTCGAGGGCCTTCGAGCTGCGCCTCTCTCCCAGACCAGCGGCGGAGGCGAAGGCTCCGAGGCAGACGGGCTCGGGAGGGTCTTGCTCGCTCCTCCGCCGCTCGGGGCGCCGCTCCTCGACGGCTGCGCCCGCGGCCCGCGCCCGGAGCGGCCGCCTGCTGTGCGGTTCGCCGGAGCCCGAGCTCGTGCCGAGCGGGCCCTGGCCACATCGCACGGCGTGCGCGCGCCCACGTTGGCACACGCGCCACACGCGCCGTGGCTTCGGATGGGACCCCACCGAGAACGAGACCCACAGCTGCGGTGCCCGCAGCTGCACACCGTCGGGCCCTTCGTCGCGCGATGCTTTCTCTTATGGATGTCGGGGTCACAGGTGTCACCCGGGTGCTATCCAGTTTCTGCTTGACGCCGTCTCGGCCCCGAGAGTACAAGTGAAACAATTCGTTTGTCGCACACGGTTTTCGGGTCAAACGCGTGTTACTTTGGTGTTTTCTTGTTGTTGTTGCGCGGCCCCAGGATGGCCCCACAGAATACACGTGGGACAGTTTGGTGTCTTCACGTTGAGTTCGAAGTAGCACGTGCCACCTAAGTATGTTCTTATGTTGCATGTTCCCACATTGGCCCGCATTACACACGTGTAGCAATTCATTTGTCTCTGCCTGTTTTCGGGCTTACACGTAATACCTTGGTGCGCTTCAGTAGTGATCGAACCCATGTTGGCCTTCGTATTACACCTGGTTGTTGTCTCTCGGTGTTCGGGTTGGCACGTTTCACCCTGGTTTTTATTGTGCTGGTTGACCACGCGTTGGCCGTCATAATACATTTGAAACGTTGTTTTCACACGCGGTCTTCGGTGTGATACGTGTCACCCCATTGCCTCCGTGAGTTAGTTGCATGGATGGCTTCATGTTCGCCCCCAGAACGCAAGTGAAGCAATCGGATGTTCTCTTTCGGGCTTCGAGGTGGCACGTGTCACCCTTGTGCTTCCTTTATATTGCACGGCATCGTGTGGGCATCATAATACAAGTGCAACACTGGTTGTTACTTTTTCTTGTTCCCTACCTAGGCTCTGCCTAGAGGGGTTCTTACTCGGTAAGCTTAAAGGGCCGGGCAGTGGGGCCCGCCCCGGGCGGTTCCCCCAGTATCCGCCCCGCGGTTCCCCCAGTTACGTCCCTTTAGCTTAGCGTTGCTTATCTCATCTTAGCTTAGCTTATTGCGAAGGCCTTACGGCCGATGCCGCCGACCCTGGAGACGACCCTGTTGGGCGCGCCAGCCCTCGCGGATCGGACGGTGGCTGCGAGGCGCTGTCGGACGTCGGAGGCGTTGAAAGCGCGCTTGCCGCGCTCGGGAACGTGCCCCTCCTCCATTCTGTGATGGGGAGGAGGAGGAACAGGCGGAGGAGGAGGACAAGGTCGAAGAGGAGGGAATACCCGGTTATTTTGTAACTTCCTAGTTTGTTTTGTAGCTTCCTAGGAGAGTTTTTGGGGCCTCTCGGGAGCCTCTTGGGGCCTCTGTGGGCTTCCTGGAGGGCCTCTTGGGAGCTTCTCGGGGCTGAGGGCTCGAAATGTCCGTTCGGGTCCCCCGTCTGGGCGCTCTCTTGGCACCGTTTTGGGTGCCTTTTGTGAATCTGGGAGGCGGCTTGGGCCGTCTTGGGGCACTTTTGGGCCGTTTGGAGACCCTCTCGGAGGCCTCTTGGGCCGTGTCGGGGCGATCTTATGAGCCTCTTGGGCCGTCTTGGCGCGTGGGGAAGCGGAAGAGGCGAAAACGCAAAAAAATCTTGATGTGTACCTCTTGGAGCTCTCGTGGGAACGGTCCTGGAGGCCTCTTGGGGGGTCTCGCAGGCCTCTTGGGCCGTCTGGAGGCCGTCGAGGCGTCTTGGACAGATCATTCGGCGATTCGGCGCCCTGTTGGATCGTCTTGGTGGCCTCTCTGGCGGGCACTCTTGGCCCGTCTTGGGACTTTTTTGGGCTCCGGGATTCCCGGGGGGGCGGCGTAAAAACCCGTGACCCCCCCCGGGACCCACCCCGGGGGGCGGCGTAAAAACCCGGGACCCCCCCCGGGACCCACCCCGGGACCCCCCCCCCCGTTGGGGAAGCGATCAA